TCAGAGAGGTCCAAATCTTCGTCGCTGGAAAGACCTTTCCGCCGGGTACGTCTAGTAGTCCCACCGCAGGCGCCCAAGAGTTCGTCGTCAGAAGAGTCCGAGTCCTCAGAGCTTAAGAAATCCGCCAGCCCGCTCGTGAAGAGTGAACGAGCTCGTTCCTTCCCTTCCCGACGCAGCTTCGCCCTCTCGGTGGCGGCGAGGAGAAACCTGTTGCTCCTGCCCGTAGCGTCTCGTGTGGAGACAGAGGGGGCAATGTCTTCGTTTGAATCTCTGCTCAGCTCGGCTTCGTATTCTCCATACCGTCGATGCTGTTCGTGAGCAAGTAACTTGGCTTTATTCGTATCAGATGTTTGCGTCTATTTACAATTTTTGCCTTATATACACACTACCCTTTACTATTAATTCTTAACCAAATCCTTATACAATAGCTTTATTCACTCATGAAGGAATTTTGCCAATGGCCTTAAGAACCCAGTTTCTTGTCTATTCCTAAATCCTACTACTACGTTTGCGTTGTTACAGGGGTCGGTGTAACAGATCAATCCCGGGGCTATTTTAGGCTAGGCTGTTTTATACCCAGGGTATAAGTTTGGCTAGGCCAGTTTATACCCCAGGTATAAAAGTGATATACAGTACATGCTAACATGTTTTGAAATAAACATACAGGATATGTTAATAACAATAATGATAATAATAATGATGATTAATGATAATGATAATAATTATTGTTATAATGATAATGATAATAATAATTGTTATAATGATAATGATAATAATAATTGTTATAATGATAATGATTATTGTTATAATGATAATGATTATTGTAATAATTATAAGAATGATAAGGAAGATGATAACGTTGTAATGATGGTAATCATTATTCCCATAATGGTAATCATTATTATAATTGTAATAATAATAATGGGAATGATGATTATAATGATGATAATATTGATGATGTTAATGATGACATCATGGAAACTAGGCACCTTGCGGTCCTAGGCTGAACTGTGGAGGCTCTTGGAGCAGCAGTAGGCCCTAAAGGTACGGAGTCATGGACACGCCCTGACTTCGTACTAACTCCTGCCCCGTACCCCCTGGGGTTAATGGGCGGCTGTGAGGAGGCAGGTCTTGCCAGTCTGCCCCCCCCCCCCCCCCCCGAGAGATATTGGCATCAAAGCATTTAGTCGGTGGTGCTGGGGGGAGGGCTAAAGTCCCTCCCACCCAGCAAGTAAGGCGGACTGTGGATTCCTCTGGGTTGGTGACCGCTGGGACCCGGGTAGGGGGCAGGGGTTACCCGTCACCCCATTAGGGTCCCGGCGGCCGCCAGCCTGGCGTAAAGCTTGTGGGGGAAAGCCCCCGGGAGCCGAGCAGGCGGATAATGGGGCCTGCAGCCAGCCAACCTTGTCTATTTGGGGCGGCGTCGGTAAGGGTGGCAGAGGTGGCACCCACCCGGAGTGACAGCCCGAGGTTAGACCTCAGGCGGGCTGTCCGGGTGGGGGCTGACTGCAGTCCTCACAGACGACTGCAGTCAGCTCAGCAAATGGCCAGATAATCTCAGATCCTGATGGGGTGCATGTGTGTTGGGCTGAGTATTTTGAGCAGTTCTCTCAGGTTGATCCACCAACAGTTAACATGGACGCAGTAAATGTCGAGATTCCTCTGCGAGGATCCACCCTCCCTGACTGAAGTCAGAGGGGCGATCTCCAAGCTCAAGAGTGGAAAAGCAGCAGGTGTTTGTGGCATCCCAGCTGAATTGTTAAAGGCTGGTGGAGAACCTATGGCAAGGGGCGTGCATACAATCCTGTCTGCCATCTGGCAGACTGGTACCATTCCCCCTGACCTGCTGAGGGGTGTGGTCATCCCTCTCTGGAAGGGGAAAGGGGATCGGTGGGACTGCAGCAATCACCGAGGCATTACACTGCTCAGTGTGCCAGGCAAGGCACTCGCACACATCTTACTGAGACGTATCAGAGACCACCTGCTGAGGCACCAAAGGCCGGAGCAATATGGATTTACTCCTGGTAAGTCCACAATAGACCGTATCCTGGCACTTCGAGTCATTGTAGAGTGCCATCGTGAGTTCGGTTGTGGGCTGCTTGCAGCATACATCGACCTTAAGAAGGCGTTTGATACAGTGCATCGCGAATCACTCGGGGAGATCTTGAGGCTAAGAGGAATTCCAACAAGGATTGTTGGATTAATAGCAAACCTGTATACAGGCACTGAAAGTGCTGTAAAGTGTGGTCAACACTTTTCAACACTTGCATGGATTGGATACTGGGTAGAGCTACTGTCCAAAGTCACTATGGAGCAACTCTGGGCAATATCAAGGTTACAGACCTTGACTTTGCTGATGATGTTGCCATTCTTTCTGAATCTCTGGAAACCCTAGTGGCGGCTCTTGATGCATTTAGCAATGAAGCGAAGCCCTTGGGGCTAGAGGTCTCCTGGACCAAGGCCAAGATCCAGGATTTAGAGGCCATGTGCAGTCAGTACA